AACAATCTCTTAACTATAAGAACTGAAATACTGAAATATAATAATTGCTAGCTGGAAGCCGCCAAGGTCGTCCCCGTTAACTCATCTTGGCACGCGTTCCACTCTCTCATCACCTTCCTAGGCCTTGGCCTTACCTTTAGTATCTGTACATGCGAAGAAAGAAACTGATAAGCTTTACGCTTAGTAAGTCACTATGGATCCACAAAAATACCTAGAAGTCTATGCCAATTTATCAATAGATAAATTTAGGCTATAAGCATGCACTGAACAAATAACTAACACATAACTTCTCAAATACATTCTGAGGGAGATCTCAAAGGAAAAATATTTTCTAAAATATTTTCTCAAAACTGCTAGAGATCTCAAAATTTATTTCTGAAAACATCTCTGGAACTTTCTGAAAGAGATCTCAAAAACAACTTTCTGTAAACTTACTGAAAGAGATCTCATAAACTTTCTGTAAAACTCTTTGTGGCTAATTTTAACTATGGGCCCGTGATATGTACTCAATGGCGCCAATCCGACAGCTCAGGGGAGCGACCCACTAAACATATCGGACTATCTAAAACTGCTAATCTGAGGGATCTAGTTCCCGAGTACATATCACTTAATCTTTCACTTTAAGTATTAGTTCTTTTTTATGGTGACATTTGACTAAAAAAAACATCATTAAATCTGGAAACTAAAGTACTAACAAATCTTGACTATGCCAGATAATAAACATTACTTAATCTAGCAATAAAATAACTCATCACATAATTCACATAGTTCACATAATAGCAAATAGTCTAAAATTATCTATTAAAAATCAACCAGACTTCCTTCTTGCATTTGGTTGAACAAACATGTACAGGTGGTAGTGAACTTACCTGTAAAAGCTGAATTCAAATTATCCAAATAAGTGTGGCACCTTGATAACGTCTTCCGGTAAGCTCTTCCTTGAAATCTTTATTTAGATATAACAATATAATCACAAATCTGATGTCTTAAACCATTTTAAGCTAAAGAAATCTTTGGCTACTGTCACGCAGCCGCTTAGGGTAAAATTTACTAGCTGGTTTGAGCACTACTTTAATCGGTTTAATATTGTCTTATACTCAAGTTAGCAGCAACCACCGTCAAAATTGCCTCAGAACATATGCTACATAATTTGGAGCAGATCCAACTCAAAGGAAAACAGAAAAGAGAAATTTTGGCTGCTGAATGGTTACTGAATGAGACCCATTGCTGAACCTGACTAAAGCCTAACACTGAAATAACATCCCCACAGTAAGAATTGGAAAGCTCAGTTTTCTTAACAACAAATTTTAAAAGTCTGGTGGAAATTTTAACAAACTAAAGATTAATTCAACACCTTAACCAATCAACCCTTAAAAGTGAATTACAAAACTAAGGTGTCGGTGATGATTCTAACAGAAAGCTAAAATCCCCTAACTCATAATATCACTTAATGGGATAATAGGTTGCTGCTAAAATTTTAAACTAATAAATAAATTTTGCAAATAATCGCATCTCTGTTTCGGCTACCTCTCTATTTAGACTAAAATAGCAAATTTCTGTCACTGCCAATTTAAGAAAGAAATCAACATAGCTGATTGAAGATGTTATCATCTGGATGAAGTTGGTCGAATGAATTTAAGAATCCGAGGAGAAAGGGAAGTTTTCTATAGATGGAGGAATTTTAACATATAGAGAAAAGAATTCCGCTTACCTTGTAAAAGATGCAGGGATGATGATCTGATTAAAGCTTTGACCAACAATTGAAAAGTTAGAGAGAAATTTTTCCAAGGTGATTCGCTAAGAACGGCGGACTGCTACTAAAGGGAGAGAGAGCCGATTGAGGGTTTACGAGTTTACGATCAGGATCTTCTAAGCACATCTCGTTAGGGATTTTTAAGTAAAATATTGATGCGGGCCAAGAAAACTGATTTGGATTTCTAAGTCCTCTAAAAATACTTGTGAGTTGTGACCCAACTGAATTATAATATGTTCCCCCCTTCATTAATATACTAAATAAATATTAAAATAGTATTAATTTTTTTTTTATTAAAATTATTATGAGCTTACCGGTCAACATTACCTGCCAAGACAACACATGATCGAACAATAAATCACATTATTCATAGAAGAAACTTATTTAGCAGACTAAAATAATTAATAGTGATTAATATAACTAGCTCATAAAAATCGGGGTGTTACAGAAATAGGGATATGAATTAATTAATATTAAAGGAAGAAGATTAAAGAAAATAACTCACTAACTTACAATTCATTAAGCTTCAAAGTAGCAAAACCAAGATGGAAGAGTTTAGCTCCTCATTTGGAGACTAAACATGATGGAAAATATAAAGAAATTACTTGTCTAAACTGAGCTTAGAAGTATATGTGAATTGATATCTAATTGTGAAGGAAGGGAGGTGTATTTATAGGCTTTTTGGGGGTGCAGCTCGGGTACTCGATCGAGTATATACAGATACCTGATCGAGTATGTGTAGAAACTCGAATTCGACCCATACTCGACCGAATTCAGAGTATAATTTATAGGCATACCCGATCGAGTATGTCGGTGTACCCGATCGGGTATGACAACTGATCGTGGCCAAATCTTCCCCTGCACGTCCCTTTATTTCCTGATTGATCTGATTGAAAATCCAGCTGGTACCCGATCGAGTATATGGTATACTCGACCGAGTACTGGTCAAAAATCAGGAATTCGCCTTCGTTTTGTCTTGTACTCTTGCACCTTCCTTCACCAATGATCATTTGATTGATCTTGGACCTGTTTAAACTCAGAATGGACCTAATCTTAACAAATTACAAAAATTATACAAACATAACTATTACACCAAAAGTGTGTAATTTCCAAAGTATCAAACAACAAAAACCACTACAACAAAAATCACTTTTTGCAACATTTTGTTTGTAACACTTTTGTTGTTGTTGCGTATATCATTTAATTTTATGATTACACAACATCTATTTATAAATGTTGCATAAACATCTTAATTGCACATTTATGCAACACTTATTAGAAAGTGTTACAAATTATTAGGTTTCATGTAATAGAGGCAGGAAAGGGATACCAACAACAAATGTCTTGGCAGCATGTGATTTTAATTTATTATTCACATATGTTTTGACTGGATGGGAGGGGACAGCACATGATGCTCGCATTTTTCTCGATGCAATCAATAACCCAAGTCTCAATTTTCCAAAACCACCACTAGGTAGTTAATTTTTTTATACTAAGTACATGAAAAATAAATATTGTAACATTATTTTTATGTGCATAAATAGGTAAATATCATTTAGTTGATAAAGGTTTTCCAGAAAGACAAGGGTATCTCACACCTTACTTCAAGACAAGGTATCATCAAACAGAGTTTCGTGCTACAAATCCAAGGGGATCTCGAGAAGTGTTTAATCGAGCGCATTCATCTCTAAGAAGTTGCATTGAGAGGGCTTTCGAAGTTCTTAAGGCGCGGTGGAGAATATTACGAAAAATGCCCATATATTCATTATGTGACCAGAATAAGATAATTTGTTCTTGTTTTGCACTGCATAACTACATTCGGAAGAGCACGATTGGGGATGCAAGTTTTAATAGCATTGACCGAGATCCAGATTTCATACCAGATGATATCTTTCGTGACGTTGAGTCTACTTCTGGACAAGGCGTTGACCATATGAGAGTCCGTGAAATGACAGTCATTCGTGATAATATTGCATCTAGTTATGGTAGCGAAAAGACGTTCATAGAGAAAGAATAGTATGATTTTTTTAAGATACATTATCGATACGATTAAGTGATTGTTGGTATTTTGATTGTGGTGACATTATTATTTAAATGCATTTTTTACTTTTGTTAGACAATTTTTTTAAATATATTTTTTATTTGTAACTTCATTTATTTATCAAGTTATCATTTAAATTTATTAATACATGAACAATTTTTACAAGAATTATTACTTTTCTTATTAAGTTTTTATTTTTAATTCATAAAAATGTTCTAAGTAGTGATACTACTAGCATCAATATTGTATGATACTTACATAAAGTGTCTTACTTATATATATATACTAGCTCGGTGGCGCGCCTTGCGCGACGGGTGATGCCCAATGACAGATAACAAACGAGAAGAAGCGGGTAGAAGTTTCAGGTTTTTGAATGGATAACGAATAATTTTTGCATGAAAAGTTTACGCATGCATATGTGGTTGATAAGTCCATTTTTGAACTTATTTTTCTTATCAAATTTAAGCGATTTTTGAACGAAAATAGAAAGAAAAGACACATTTTATATATTTTGGTTCAAGTTTCATGAAATCAGGTAAAAATCACATCCATAATATGTTTAGCGGGATTTCGGGTCAATTGAGCACAAAATGAGTCAATTTGAGTGACAAATGCATTTATACCGGAAGAAGCAAGCATTTTATCAAGGTGATTCAGAAGACAAAAATGAAGAGCAAGAAAAGCCGCATCTGCCAGACAAAAATGGCCGAAGGCGCCCAAATAGGCGCCCAAAATGGAGGCCTTCGCGGCCGCCTACGGGAAAAATCAGAAGTCAACCTCGCTTTGACTCGGGACCAGGAAAAGACCGAAGGCTACCGACACTGGACAGAAGGCGGCCGCCTACGGTGGCCGCCTGCGGCACAACGGGACGAAACCAACCACCGATCGGCCAGACGGGACGGCAGGCGGCCAGACAGGACGGCAGGCGGCCGCCTGCTGGACCGCCTGCGGCGGCCGGGATCCGCCGGGATCCGCCGCGATCCGATTTGACCCTGAAAAGACGGCAGGCGGCCGATGTGTGACGGAAGGCGGCCGCCCTCTGTGGCCGCCTACGGCTGACGGGGACCGGCCACCGACCGCTGTCGGCGACGAGGACGGCAGGCGGCCGGAGAGAGGCGGAAGGCGGCCGCCTGGTTGGCCGCCTTCGGGAAATTTTCTGCTATAAATTGCCCGATTTTTCCTCAACTCAAAGACACCTCTTCCAACCCTAAATCAGTTCAAAACACCTTCTTTCTTCCTCCATTTTCGAGCTCCAAAGGTCTTAGAGAGAGAGAAACTTCAAATCTTCATATCTTCTTCATTTTAGCTCCAAATTGTAAGTTCTTTATATGTATTTTCATCTTCTCAACGAGTAGAATCTGAATCTGCACTTTGTTTGTTCAATCTGTTCTTCGAAAATTTCCAGATTATTTTTCAAGTATTTCGCATTTACTTCCAAAAATTAAATAAAATAGTTATTGTTGTTGAATTCATTCCAATTAATTATATAGTTGTTCACTAGCCTCAAGGTAGTTATTTATCTGAAGAAATTAATTTTTCACGAAGCATAAGTAGTTTTTTATTAATTTTGGTAATTATTTGAGATTAGTTCATAATTTAGAATAAATACTAGAAAAATAGGAAAAAAATGAGTTCGGCCCTATTTACAGTTTAGTTAACTTAAATATCATCACTAGTAGTTAATATAAAATTCGGTACGAATTTAGAGTATTTTTTATTAATTTCGGTAACTACGTTATATTATTGCTTAAGTCAAAATAAATACAAAAAAAAGAAAAAAATTAGTTCGGCCTTAATTTCAGTTTGATTCATAGTAATATCACTCCCAGTAGCTAAAATAAAATTTATAACGAAGTTAGCATATTTTTAGTTGCTTTTTGCATTTTCTAGTTAAAATTGGGAAAATTATCAATTAGTTGTCAAAAATTGGATTTTAGGTTCAAAAATTGGTGAAAAATTCCAGAAAGTTATATTTTAGTTCCTACAAGTTTATTGTTCCAGAATATAATTTTTGTTTAATTTTTGCTATCATACATGTTTAATTCCTTGTTAATGTTGAATTTAATCATTATATTGTTAATTGCAAAAATGGTGATGAGTAGCTAAATTTGTTAGGGCATGAATTGAGAAAAGGAATATGGATTGACTTGTTGACCTAAAATTAGGGGTTAAGATTAATAAATTGGACTAGTTGTTTGAAATGATGAAATAGTAATTAATAATAGTTAGCCATTTTCATTAATTAAATTCTTGGAAAATTAATTCTAACTTGTCTATGAGATTAGAAATTAATTTGAGCCAACCATATTTGAGCACATTAATAAGGCCTAGAAATAGGATAACTTAATGAAAAGGATTTACATCTTGTCTATGAGAAATGAATTCAATTGCTAAAATAAAGAGTTTAACTAGTTAATGAAGTTGGCTATTTTTATTAATTAAAATATTGGAAAATTATTTCTACCTTGTCTATGGGTTTAGAATATAATTTAAGCCAACCATTTTTAAACACATTAATGATACCTAGAAATAGGATAAATTAATGAAGATAGTTTCTATTCTTGTCTATGAGGAAAGAAATTATTAGTCCAACTTTAGTCTTAATTTCCCTAATTAAGAGGTCCAAGAACATATCCATTTCTAATTACTCAATTCATTGCCCTTATTTGCATCCTTGAATATTCAATATTTATACATTAATCTTTAAATTGCACCTTGCTCCTAGTTATAATTTAGTATAATATAGAACAAAATCACTTTCCTATATTGAAAAAGCTTCCAACGATTAGCGATAGCCCGTGACTAAAATTAAATTAAGAAACTTCTCCGCCATTCCTCAAGAGACACGACACTCGGGGAAAAACCGAAAGGTTAGACTCCGTTTTACTACAACGCCGCGAAAGCGGCCATCAAATGGCGCCGTTGCCGGGGAATGGCACGATTATTTCTTGATTTAGTTCTAGCATAGGTGAATTCTAGTTAGGGAGACTTTTTCGCCCTTGCGACAATTTGTATAAAGATTTCAGGATAAATGAATGCACACCCGCTCTAAAGGAGTGGAAGGTCTAATTGAACTTGATCCTGAACCTGAACGAACTTTGTGGAAAAATCTTTCAATCCACAAGAAACCAAGCATGGCGGGAGAAAAGACGGTGTTGCAAAATCTTACGCCGAACTTCATCGAGGATGATAGTATCAGCGCACCGGCAATCGAGGCAGCCAATTTCGAGATCAAACCCGCCATTGTCAACATGATGTCCAATCATCAATTTGGCGGGTCCAAGCAAGATGACCCTAGGGCCCACATGTTGTGGTTCACCCGAGCATGCCAAACATTCCGCTTTAACGGAGTGACCCCCGACGCCGCAAAGTTGACCCTATTTCCCTTCTCATTACGGGATAGGGCATCGTTGTGGCTGAATAGCTTTCCAACGGGTCACTTCACAACATGGGCGGCACTGCACCAAGCATTCATGCAAGAATACTTTCCTCCATCGGCAGTTGCTAAAATAAAAACAGCAATCCAAAACTTTAGGCAATTCCCGATGGAGTCCTTAAGTGAAGCATGGGATCGTTTCAAGGATATGAGAAACAAATGTCCACTCACACTGATGGATTCTAGTAGCTTGATGTTCCATTTTTACAATGGACTTCAAGTTAGTAGCAAAAAAGAACTTGATTTCTCTTCTCAGGTGGGATCATTCCTTGACATGGCACCCAACACCAACGAAGCTCTGGTGGAGAAGGTCACTTCAAATGCGAGATACTGGTATGACGAAAGAACTCCAGCAGCAACAAAACCAGGCTATCTTGAAGTTGACCAACTCACGGCCTTAACAGCAAAGATTGAAGGGTTGGTCGTGGAAGTAAAGAATCTGAAGAATGAAAACAATCACACCAACCAAGTCAACAACATCGGTGCTGTCCCGAATCAACAATCATCCCGATACTTCGGGAACTCAAGCTCTGCTCCACAGTCATCTCAATTTAATACTTTTTCACCTGTTTCTCATTCAACTGAACTTGTACTCTCATGTGAGATATGTTTTGGTCCACATTTGACCAACTCATGTCAATTAGTCGATGAATGTAATGTAAACAACAACAGGGAAGTGAACATGCTGGAGTACGGCCGAACAAAACAAGAAGGGCCATGGGCGAATCAAGGCAACAGAGGGGGTAACTCCAACTACCCTCCTCAGAATTTCCAAGGAAGGAATTACCAAGGTAACCAATGGCGGGGGGATTACAACAATGGTCCTCCTCGCGGCGGTTATCAAGGTAATCAAAACTACTCCAACAACAATCAAGGCAACAACTTCCAAGGTCGTAACCAGGGAGGTGCATCAAGCCAACAAAACAACCAAGCTTATGTGCCTCCACACCAACGACAAACCGAGGCTGCCCAACCATCAGAGATAGGCTTGCTGGTAGCAGAACTGGCAAGGACACGGGAGGAAATAACAAGATACAAGGCCAGCACTGACAATCAGATTAAAAATTTGATGATGCAAATTAATCAGAACAATGTTCCCGGTCGTCAGCCAGGCAACTTGCCTAGCACCACGGAACCAAACCCCCGTGAACATGTGCAAGCCATCACTCTCCGAAGCGGGAGACAAACAACCGTGGCTGAGCAGAAAGACGAGGAAGAGGAAGGTACCCCAACCATGGAACCTGAGAAACAAACTGATGCTCCAACTGAGAAGAGCATGAAACCAACACGCCCTAACACAAGGGTCACTATCGTCAAACCTTCTCTCCCGTTTCCTTCACGGGTTAGAAATGATGACGATAGCAGGAAATACAACAAATTCCTGGACCTACTCAAACAACTCCACGTCAACCTGCCGCTGATGGATGCCCTAGCGGAGATGCCCAAATATGCCAAGTTTTTCAAAGACTTGCTGACAAACAAGAGGCAGCTGCAGGAACTCTCAGTCGTGGACTTAAACGCGGAATGCTCAGCCGTGGTTCTAAGGTCAATACCCGAAAAGCTAAAGGATCCAGGTAGTTTCACTATCCCTTGCTCTATAGACAATTTCAATTTCAATAATGCTCTAGCTGACTTAGGGGCAAGTATCAATCTGATGCCTTCCTCTATAGTCGAAAAGCTAGGACTTGGGGAAATGAAACCCACCAGGATGTGTCTTCAACTGGCTGATCGCTCAGTCAAATATCCGAAAGGAATTGTTGAAGACATCTTGGTCAAGGTTGACAAGTTCATTTTCCCAGTCGACTTTGTAGTAATGGACATGGAAGAGGATAGGGAAACACCTCTTATTCTGGGAAGGCCCTTTCTGGCTACCGCCAGGGCCTTGATTGATGTCACTGATGGCTCATTAACTCTAAGAGTCGGAGATGATCTTTGCACCTTCCGACTCTCAGATGTTATGAAACACCCCACAGATTCCTTTCAAGGATGTCATTTTCTTGATACCTTTGAGTCTATTGAAGGGTATCTGTTTGGGGAAGAAAATGGACATGTAACTGATGAAGCATGTCTGTTAAAAGAAGCCAACAGTGATGTGAGTGATGCATGTGAGAGTTGTGAGGATGCGCTGATTGATCAAGCTTCTAACGAAGTATTGACTGAGTTTGAGGGGGAGAAAAATGAACAAAACTTGAAAAACGACCACCCCCTCGAACTAAAGAAACTGCCCGACCACTTAGAATATGCATTCTTGGATGACGAAGGCAAATGCCCTGTCGTCATCGCCGCACACTTAAGTGAGGAACAAAGGGAGAAATTACTTGGAGTCCTTAAGACACACAAGCAAGCAATTGCTTGGAAACTTGAGGACATCAATGGAATTAGCCCCACCTTTTGTACCCACACCATCAAAATTGAGGAAGGGTTTAAACCAGTTGTCCAACCACAACGACGTTTAAACCCAAACATGATGGAAGTAGTGCGTGCCGAGATTGTCAAACTGCTGGATGCGGGTATCATTTACCCCATCTCTGATAGCCAGTGGGTAAGCCCTATTCATGTTGTCCCCAAAAAGGGGGGAATGACCGTCATGAAAAATGAAAAGGGCGAACTTCTACCCAGTCGAACTGTTACCGGGTGGCGAATGGTAATCGATTACCGCAAACTAAACGAAGCCACCCGGAAAGACCATTTTCCCCTTCCCTTCATCGATCAATTAATAGAGAGGTTGGCAGGCCATAGTCACTACTGTTTCCTGGATGGCATGAGTGGATACTTCCAAATCCATGTCAACCCGGAAGACCAAGACAAAACTACGTTTACATGCCCTTTTGGGACCTTTGCTTTTCGTAGGATGTCTTTCGGTCTCTGTAATGCTCCTGCCACCTTCATGAGGTGCATGATTGCCATTTTTGAAAAATACATTGGCCACTTCATGGAGGTATTCATGGATGACTTCTCTATTTTTGGGGAAACGTTTGAAAAATGCCTCGAAAACCTGGAAAAAGTACTTATCCGCTGCAAGGAAACCCATTTAGCCCTAAGTTGGGAGAAATGTCATTTCCTTGTGAAAGAGGGTATAGTACTTGGACACAAGGTGTCAAGTAACGGGGTAGAGGTGGACCGTGCAAAAATTGAGACGATAGAGAAACTTCCTCCACCAACCACGGTAAAAGCCATCCGCAGCTTCTTAGGACACGCGGGCTTTTATCGTCGTTTTATAAAGGATTTCTCTAAAATCGCAAAACCTCTCACCCGGTTACTTGAAAAAGATGCGGTTTTTATATTCTCTGATGAATGTCACCATGCTTTCCAAGCACTTAAAACACAACTGATCAATGCACCGGTGCTTGTGGCCCCAGATTGGAGTTTACCCTTTGAACTCATGTGTGACGCTAGTGACTTAGTAGTAGGGGCCATCCTTGGTCAAAGGAAGGACAAGAACTTCCACCCAATCTACTACGCTAGCAAAACTCTGTCAGGGCCACAACTCAACTACACTACCACTGAAAAAGAATTCCTTGCTATTGTTTGTGCTTTAGAGAAGTTTAGGACTTACATCATTCTTTCGAAGGTTATTATCTATACCGACCATTCGGCCATTAGATATCTCCTCCAAAAGCATGATGCTAAGCCTAGACTGTTACGCTGGGTTCTTTTGTTGCAGGAATTTGATATTGAAATCAGGGACCGAAAAGGATCTGCTAATCAGGCAGCTGATCACCTCTCGAGGTTAGATGCCGAGTTAGCAGAAACTTTCGGAAAATGCGAAATTGAGGAGCTTTTTCCTGCTGAGAGACTGATGGCAATATCCGCCAAGGAACAAACACCGTGGTATGCCGACATTGCCAACTACCTTGTTGGTAAAGTCGAGCCTACCGAACTGACAAGGCACATGAAAAGGCGGTTCCTATCAGAAGCAAAGCACTATTTTTGGGATGATCCATATCTTTTCCGAATTTGTGCTGACCAGGTGGTGAGAAGATGTGTTACTGAAGCTGAGGCAAAGGACATTCTGGAGCATTGTCACAACGGTCCTACCGGGGGCCACTTTTCAGGGAATAGAACCGCAAGGCGGGTTTTGGACTGTGGGTACTTCTGGCCCACGATTTTTAAGGATGCTAATGTATTTGTTTCTTCTTGTGATAACTGTCAACGAATCGGGAACATTTCTGGGCGCAATGAGATGCCCCAACACTTTATCTTACCTTGTGAGGTATTTGATGTTTGGGGCATCGACTTTGTTGGACCTTTCCCAAGCTCAAGAGGAAACAAATACATTCTTGTGGCCATTGATTATGTTTCTAAATGGGTTGAAGCCCAGGCCTGTGTCACCAACGACTCTCGAGTAGTCGTGAATTTTCTGAAAAAGCTCTTTACCAGATTTGGTGTGCCCAGGGTTTTGATCAGCGATAGAGGGACTCATTTCCACAATGATCCAATGGCCAGAATTTTGGCCAAATATGGAGTCCAACATCGAAGCGGAGTAGCGTACCACCCCCAGACTCAGGGACAAGTGGAGAACGCTAACAGGGATTTGAAGTTCATTCTGGAGAAAACTGTTGCCCAGACCAGGAAAGACTGGTCAACTAAACTTGACGACGCTCTTTGGGCATTTCGGACTGCTTACAAGACCCCGATCGGAACAACACCTTTTCGCCTTGTATACGGGAAGTCTTGCCACTTACCCGTCGAACTCGAGCATAAAGCACTTTGGGCGATGAAAAATGTTTGTTTTAAACTGGATGCTGCAGGGAAGGAACGATTTTACCAGCTGAATGAACTGGAAGAATGGAGAGCGCAAGCTTTTCATAATTCCAAACTTTACAAGGAACGAGCCAAACTCTACCATGATCAACACATCAAAGCTCGTGATTTCAATGCTGGAGATAAAGTGCTGTTGTTCAACTCCCGGTTGAAGCTTTTTCCAGGAAAGCTTAAATCAAGATGGTCCGGACCGTTCAAGGTCATAAAAGCTTACCCCTACGGAACTGTTGAGATTGAAGATGCTAATGGGGCTCCCTTTAAAGTCAACGGCCACCAACTTAAACTCTACCATGGCGGCCCGATTGAAAAAAGCAAGGAGATTCTCTATCTCCAAAAATTTTGAACCAAGGGAGGACATTCGTCAAGCTAGTGACGTTAAAGAAGCGCTCATTGGGAGGCAACCCAACAACCAAAAAAAAAAAAAAAAAAAAAAAAAAAAAAAAAAAAAAAAAACTAACCCAAAAATATTTACTTTGTTTATTTCTTGCAGATGTCTGGAGGAAGACGTGACGATCCCATTTTCGAGGAGCCACCACTAGGACGGGAAGACCCGCCACCTCAGCCTGATATCCCATTTGCTACTATTGCTGATCGCAGACGCTTCCAGGCATGGGGGCAATACCGCACACTCCTTCCTCCCATGATCCTGGACCCGACGATGCTAGAGGAATGGGGGTACTGGGATGAGATTGATTCCCTGCTAGGAGACTCTTTATGGCGGAGGATTCTATTCGTTCAGGAGAGGGCCAGCCTTCCATTGACGATGGAGTTTCTGTGCTCCGTTCAGTTCACTCATTACGGACAGGCTGTGCAGGAGGGTGCTGTTATTGGGTCAGAGTCTCGGATGAGGTTTACTATTCTAGGCATGGAGCACTCCATCACTGTGGCTGAGCTCGGATGGAGGATGGGGCTCTATACCCCAGCATACACACAGACTGAGGAGTTCCGTGCTCTTCCGACCCGCTTACCCGAGGCATTTGACATTGATGAGTTCTGGCACAGACACTCCACAGACACCAGATCATTTCTCCGGATGCACCCCCATTCGAACAAATGGAGGGCGACTCACTGGTACATACTCTCGTTCGTACTTTCTTGTGGTTTTTTTGGACGACCTAACAACACAAATAGGTTGTCCAAAAAGGACATACTATTCTTTTGGAGTTTGATTCACCGCATCCCGGTGAATATGGCTGTCCTTATGGCTCGTTTCTTCCGGAGCCAGGGGAAGACTGTGCGGCGCACTATCCAGGCAGGGCCTTTCATCACTACTCTCGTTAGATCATTCTACCCAGATCTAGACATTCCAGGACTAGTGCACTTACAGGATAGCATCCGCGTTCTCCGATCCTCATCCTTTACCAACATGAGGATCAAGAAGAAGCGGAACACTCAGGAGCTCCCAGGTATTGAGCAGCCGACCCAGCAGAGTAGTTCTTCTCGACCCTCAGGACATGAGGGATCTAGCGAGCCCTTTTCATACATGCCTAGCGCCGCAGATTGGAGAGCGATGATGGATGGGATGAGGAGTCTACAGACCTCAGTCTCAGAGATGCGGGTTGCACAGGACAGAGGATTCCAGGAGATGAGAGATGCGCATGAGACGGCCCTGGGAGAGTTCAGAGACTTTCGATTAGCTCAGGAGAGAGCCACCCGGGATATGCAGGCGGAGCTAGAGACCCAGAGGCTAGATATTGATGAGATGAGAGATTGGCTTAGGCCACACTATGGCCCCCAGGATGGCGCAGGCGATGTTTAGATTTGCTTCTTCCTTAACATTTTTATCATGTTTGTTTGTTCTTCAGGTTGGACATTGCGCTGCTCTTTTGACTTGAATGCTCTTACAAACTGACTATGGATGATGTAAGGATTTTTAAAACCATTTTTTCTCCTGTTTCATTATTCATCTTCACAAAATCTTTTCAAAACTCAAGTGTGAGGAAAGAACCAAAAAAAAAAAAAAAAAAAATTATGTGCCTTTATTTCCCAATTTTGTGCCTCAAAAGAAGACCTCGAGGGCGAGGTCCAGCTCAAGTGTGAGGAGGTTGCGTTTTACACTTAAAAGTCAAAGCCTTGTTTTAGAACAATCTTTTTACTATTTTTGATATGAAACATTAATTTCTCAATTTGTTATCAAATCACAAAATAGTTTAGAAAATCACCCTTATTATAAGAATTTACTATTATTATTATTTTTGAAAACTTAAAATTGTTATGGGTTTTTGGTTGCGAATGTAAAGGTCTGAATTTGTTTTAATTGGACATTCATTTTATTCATTAAAAAAAATGTTACTATTAATAAACCTCTTCAAAACTCATTGTTATAGGACAATTCCATCTCCGAAAAGGGGCTCTGTTTCATTCGTTAATCACAGTCTGTGAGAATGAAATATGCATTTACCATGGGATAACACCGCCAACAAGAGTGAAAAAGAGCAAAAAAAAAAAAAAAAAAAAATAGTGAACAAGATGAATGTCCAAATTAGAATAATGAAAATCTTGGGATAAGGAATTGATTGGTGGTTTAACATAATGAATAGTTTTCTTAAGTAATACTAATTTTAAATTCTTGTATTTTGGGTGATTTTTCTAAAATGTTTAAAAATTGAGAATAAAAGATGAGGTTTTTGTTTCTACTTCTTTAAAATAGCAATTAGATTGTAATACAGTTAGGCTTTACCTTTTGAGTGTGTTTACAACTAATTCGTCTCTTGAGGACAAGCAACGCTTAAGTGTGAGGAGATTGATAAGTCCATTTTTGAACTTATTTTTCTTATCAAATTTAAGCGATTTTTGAACGAAAATAGAAAGAAACGACACATTTTATATATTTTGGTTCAAGTTTCATGAAATCAGGTAAAAATCACATCCATAATATGTTTAGCGGGATTTCGGGTCAATTGAGCACAAAATGAGTCAATTTGAGTGACAAATGCATTTATACCGGAAGAAGCAAGCATTTTATCAAGGTGATTCAGAAGACAAAAATGAAGAGCAAGAAAAGCCGCATCTGCCAGACAAAAATGGCCGAAGGCGCCCAAATAGGCGCCCAAAATGGAGGCCTTCGCGGCCGCCTACGGGAAAAATCAGAAGTCAACCTCGCTTTGACTCGGGACCAGGAAAAGACCGAAGGCTACCGACACTGGACAGAAGGCGGCCGCCTACGGTGGCCGCCTGCGGCACAACGGGACGAAACCAACCACCGATCGGCCAGACGGGACGGCAGGCGGCCAGACAGGACGGCAGGCGGCCGCCTGCTGGACCGCCTGCGGCGGCCGGGATCCGCCGGGATCCGCCGCGATCCGATTTGACCCTGAAAAGACGGCAGGCGGCCGATGTGTGACGGAAGGCGGCCGCCCTCTGTGGCCGCCTACGGCTGACGGGGACCGGCCACCGACCGCTGTCGGCGACGAGGACGGCAGGCGGCCGGAGAGAGGCGGAAGGCGGCCGCCTGGTTGGCCGCCTTCGGGAAATTTTCTGCTATAAATTGCCCGATTTTTCCTCAACTCAAAGACACCTCTTCCAACCCTAAATCAGTTCAAAACACCTTCTTTCTTCCTCCATTTTCGAGCTCCAAAGGTCTTAGAGAGAGAGAAACTTCAAATCTTCATATCTTCTTCATTTTAGCTCCAAATTGTAAGTTCTTTATATGTATTTTCATCTTCTCAACGAGTAGAATCTGAATCTGCACTTTGTTTGTTCAATCTGTTCTTCGAAAATTTCCAGATTATTTTTCAAGTATTTCGCATTTACTTCCAAAAATTAAATAAAATAGTTATTGTTGTTGAATTCATTCCAATTAATTATATAGTTGTTCACTAGCCTCAAGGTAGTTATTTATCTGAAGAAATTAATTTTTCACGAAGCATAAGTAGTTTTTTATTAATTTTGGTAATTATTTGAGATTAGTTCATAATTTAGAATAAATACTAGAAAAATAGGAAAAAAATGAGTTCGGCCCTATTTACAGTTTAGTTAACTTAAATATCATCACTAGTAGTTAATATAAAATTCGGTACGAATTTAGAGTATTTTTTATTAATTTCGGTAACTACGTTATATTATTGCTTAAGTCAAAATAAATACAAAAAAAAGAAAAAAATTAGTTCGTCCTTAATTTCAGTTTGATTCATAGTAATATCACTCCCAGTAGCTAAAATAAAATTTATAACGAAGTTAGCATATTTTTAGTTGCTTTTTGCATTTTCTAGTTAAAATTGGGAAAATTATCAATTAGTTGTCAAAAATTGGATTTTAGGTTCAAAAATTGGTGAAAAATTCCAGAAAGTTATATTTTAGTTCCTACAAGTTTATTGTTCCAGAATATAATTTTTGTTTAATTTTTGCTATCATACATGTTTAATTCCTTGTTAATGTTGAATTTAATCATTATATTGTTAATTGCAAAAATGGTGATGAGTAGCTAAATTTGTTAGGGCATGAATTGAGAAAAGGAATATGGATTGACTTGTTGACCTAAAATTAGGGGTTAAGATTAATAAATTGGACTAGTTGTTTGAAATGATGAAATAGTAATTAATAATAGTTAGCCATTTTCATTAATTAAATTCTTGGAAAATTAATTCTAACTTGTCTATGAGATTAGAAATTAATTTGAGCCAACCATATTTGAGCACATTAATAAGGCCTAGAAATAGGATAACTTAATGAAAAGGATTTACATCTTGTCTATGAGAAATGAATTCAATTGCTAAAATAAAGAGTTTAACTAGTTAATGAAGTTGGCTATTTTTATTAATTAAAATATTGGAAAATTATTTCTACCTTGTCTATGGGTTTAGAATATAATTTAAGCCAACCATTTTTAAACACATTAATGATACCTAGAAATAGGATAAATTAATGAAGATAGTTTCTATTCTTGTCTATGAGGAAAGAAATTATTAGTCCAACTTTAGTCTTAATTTCCCTAATTAAGAGGTCCAAGAACATATCCATTTCTAATTACTCAATTCATTGCCCTTATTTGCATCCTTGAATATTCAATATTTATACATTAATCTTTAAATTGCACCTTGCTCCTAGTTATAATTTAGTATAATATAGAACAAAATCACTTTCCTATATTGAAAAAGCTTCCAACGATTAGCGATAGCCCGTGACTAAAATTAAATTAAGAAACTTCTCCGCCATTCCTCAAGAGACACGACACTCGGGGAAAAACCGAAAGGTTAGACTCCGTTTTACTACAACGCCGCGAAAGCGGTTATCAGTGGTCAATGCATTATACGGAGAACAACAGAGTGCGGACATGAATACGTTTGTTTTATCCCCTTGCAACAGACGGAGAACAAACGATCTTCCCCTTGCATATTCCCGTCGCAAAATGTCACTTAGTGAATTCAATCCCGTCGTGCTACCACTCAATAGTAGCAGAGCATTGATTGTCTTGGAATCCTGAATGCAAAATTCAAATTGGTTTTGCTGAAATCAAACCAGAAAACATGGTATCGGAAATTGTCCTAATCATGACACACAACAAATATGAATATATGATGTCTTGATTTCCAAGTTACTCTTTTAAGGGGGAAACAACTTATGTCATTCAGATAAAAATCATCCACACTTAATTAACTAATTCCTATTTGAAAAAGTGGAGGTAAGGCTGCAACATCAGCCACTTTCTAATAGGAAGACCACACTCCCCTACTGCATTCCAGTGGCGAAGTCGTCATGCATTTCAGTAGGAAGATCACACTAACCTACTGCATTTTCAAAGAAAATAAATAGATGAGGCGAGTGGATAAACTTTTGGAAGTCCAAAATCAATTCCATCTCGAACAAATCAATTAAAAATCAAAATAAGTAAAACATTGATAAGAAATTGATTCCAGTAGGAAGACCACACTCTCCTACTGCTCTTTCAAAGAAAAATATATAGAAGCAAGGTACTGATTAAGATAGTCTAAAAAGAATCTTAAATGTAATTCATATTCTATAACCATGCTCCTAGAGAATGTTCTATAGTCTATAAAACTCCTGATAGCAAAATTTCAAAATCCCATGCTCCTAATTCAAGGCCAACTGCTAAAGTAAGTGAAGAAATATTGGAAAACAAACCACAAAGAAGGGAGCAGGTCAATTTGACCACTAATTTACCAATATTTTGATGTAAAGATTATCCATAACACAAATTGAAAGTAAAGGCGTTAGCACTCAAGACAAATAATAAGGATGCTTAATTTTCATTAAGCCTCTATTATTTATATGTGTATATGGTTAAATGCACAATATACATGGTTTGTGAAATGGTTGGTTAGCAGGACCATTTTTGTCATTATTGAAAAGGGCTATATTTATGTTTTATAGAAATATTTGAAATGCAAGTTTAAACATGAAGGTATGCTTTTTTAAAATGTTTGTTTTTGTCATAAGCATTGAGTTTGCTCCAAAAGATATGAATATAAATTAGGCTATGCTAATTTTATTTCGGGTGCTTTCATTTCCACACAGTAAACAATGAATGTAAAGATGCAATAACATCATAAAAGCAAAGCAAAAAAAGCAATTCAATGTTGTCTATTATAGCAGTGTAGTCAATTAA